GATCCAAGAAGAATGAAGTCCTTGACAACTTCAATCTTTTCTCCATTGATAAGAATTTGTTTATTGATCCAGTGGTGAGGATTTTTGTTTTCTTTACATTGAGATGCAATCCATATTGAAGGCTGTAGTCTTTGATCCTCATCAGTAAATATTTTAAGTCCTTTTCACTTTCAGCAAGCAAGGCTGTATCATCTACATATTGCAAGTTGTTAATGAGTCTCCCTCCTTTCTTCATGCCACGTTTTCTTCACATAACCCAGCTTCTCGGATTATTTGCTCAGGATATAGGTTGAGTAAGTATGGTGAAAGAATACACACCTTTCTTAATTTTAAACCTGTCACACACCTTTCTTAATTTTAAACCATTCAGTGTTCCAATGTTTTGTTCGAACAACTGTCTCATGGTCAATGTACAGATTCCTCATGAGCAAAACTGAGTGTTCCAGAATACTCATGCTTCACAAGGTTGTCTATAGCTTGTTATGATCCACACTATCGAAAGCCTTTGTGTAGTCAATAAAGCACAGGAAAAAACATCTTTCTGGTATTATCTGCTTTCAGCCAAGATCCATCGGACATTAGCAATGATATCCCTCATTCCAGGTCCTCTTTTGAATCTGGCTTGAACCTCTGGAAGTTCTCTGTCAATGTATGTTTGCAGCCGCTTCTGTATTACCTTTAGTAAAACTTTGCTCGCATGGGATATCAAAGATACTGTCCGATGATTTCTGCATTCCATTGGGTTACCTCTCTTTGGAATGGGCACACATACAGATCTCTTTTAATCAGTTGGCTAGATTGCTGTCTTCCAAATTTCTTGGCATAGATGAGTGAGCACCTCCAATGCCACCTCACTTTCTTGAAAGATTTCCATTTTTATTCCATCAACTCCTGGTGTCTCATTCTTTGCCAATTCCCCAAAGCATCTTGGACTTCTTCCTTCAGTATCATTGGCTCTTGATTATATGCTACCTGATGAAGTGGTTGAACATCAATCATTTTCTTTTGCTACAGTGATTCTATTTAT